GCCTCGCCCCGTCCAGCGCGCACGTCGAGCGGCCGGCCGGCGCCGCTGGCCCGGAGCCGATCGGGCAGCCGCTCTCGCACGCCGCCCGGGGTTCCCCACCGGCTGGACTACACTTCCCATCACCCCGTCGCGCCCGGCCAACGTATGGCGAGATCGCCGGGCCAGAACGCCTGCAGAGCACCGGGCAGGGGAAGGCCGCCGCGCGTGGCTTTCCGGGGAAAGCCAGCCGGGACCCTCGGCTGCCTGGCGCAGAAGGCGCGGGTGCCCTCCACGGCCTGGCTGGCGCGGAGCAGAGAACTCGCTGCCCGCGGGATTCGAGTACTCCAGCTCCCATCGCACTTGGCTATTGGCCAAGCAGGCTGGGGGCCATGGGAGTTCTTGCCCAGGTTGTCGGTCCGTTCTAGAGTCATTCCGTGAGGGGTGTTTGTATTTAGCGTGTCGAGTGCTGTGCGCATTCGTTCCAAGAGCACAGCCCTATTTTCCTGTCCAGGTATGTGTGAATGAGCGAACAAGAGTGCAGAAACCTACCGTCCATCCCAGATGGGTTGTATCCTCAGTTCTCTGCCTGGGTCAAACAAGTATCTGTTGGGCATTTCCTAGCTTTGGGGCCTTGCCGAAATGAAATCCAGCAGCATAATCCTGCAGCTGTTTGCTCAAACGTAGGTTCGTGGCATGCCGTGGCGTTCCCAGGTTAAATGGTTCAGGACTGCACCGTTTAATGTTTCTGAATGTGCCAGTTATAGTTGCAACCCAGACTGTTCCCAGCTGTTTCCCGGTGCCACACAAAACATTCTTTTTGTAATTACAAAAAGAAAAAAAGGAACCCTTGTTCAGTCATTTGACATCCATTTAAAATACCCTGGGGATATAGGAATATTTCCGGCTCTCTTATTTTAGCAAAACATATAATTAATTCTTTTAGGGTGCAAAGGCCAGGAGGCACAAATGAGGGGGCTGGGACAGACACAGGGCTGCATTTGCTAAGAATGAATGAGAAAAATTAAATTCTGTAGCTAGAAAAGCTGCAATCCCTACCAAAGAGCCTGTGTGGGAGGAAAACCCCATACATTATGTGGATTGCATGCATCTCCGTGTATTATCCCATAAGTGATTCCGCTCAGCTCCTTTCAAAGAACTTGGAAAGTTTGCAGTGGCAGCCAGAAGCAAAAGGCCCATGTTTCGTGTGTAGACAAATTCTCTGTCCTCTTCTGCCCATACACCACAACGCAGAGCTTCCATAGTCAGAGGGAGTCTATCCTGGAATACAAGAAGCTGGGCTAATGAGGGGTCGTGCCTTTTAGCCTCATCCCTCCCAAGGACATAGGAGGAGCTCTGTTGGGGCAGGCCAAGGCCCATCCAGTCTGGCATCCTGTCCTCACAGCGACCAGCCTGTTGCCCATGGGAGCCCCACGAGCAAGGCATGAGTGCGACACCACCCTCCCACCCACGTTCCCCAGCCACTGGTGCACACAGGCACCTGATCCTGGAGTGGCTTGGAGCCAGCATCTGGGCCAGTAGCCATCCTCCTCCATCAACTGGTTCAGTCCCCCTTTCAGGCATCCTGCAAGCTCACCACGCGTGCCTCGGTCTTGCATCTCCTCTCCCAGTGCATGGGACCTCAAAATGGGGCGCTGCCTCCCAGCCAGCAACATGAGGGGGCGGGGCCTGTCCAGGTAAGTCTGCTTTAAAGACTGGAGCAGCAGAGGACGGAGAGGAGAGGCCTTGAGTAATGCATTAATGGTTAGGCCTGGACTAGTTGGGCAAAGCGCTCTCTTAGTCACAGCCTTCTCCACTATGCTGGGCTGTACGTGACTTTCATTTCAACCGCCCTAATTCTCTAAATATGCCTATTAATTCACATGCAAATGCCGTGCAAGTTGCTGCCCTCTCTTTTGGCGACCAATTGCCCCTCTTTTGCCCCTGGGTCCTGGAGTTTAGGCTGCTCAGGAAGTGGGGGGGGGGGGGGGGGACAACAGTGCTAAAGAGGCCGGTGTCGGTCAGGCACAGTTGTGTGCTCCCATCCAGAAAGGGACATGGCAGAGAGCAAATATGCCGGGAATATCTTGTCTGCCCCACAATTCCCAGGGCACAGCCCATCAGCTCCAGAGAGAAGGAGCTGGCACGTAGCAAGTGAATGAAAATAAATACCTTCAATAAATTTGGAGACCTCATGAGGAGGATTTCTGGGGAGAAGGGCCTTTGAGGGGCTCCGGGCGGAGGAGAGCCGCATGTGCGGTGGCTGAGAGCCGCATGTGCGGGGCTCTTTTTTGGCTCCCCCCCAGCACGCACATCGAGTCTGTCTTGGCTTTCATGGCAGGCCCTTGCAGCTGCTGGACCCGGCCTGTGCCAGAGAGCTTTTGTTTATCTTCCCAGCGTCCTCATAATTCTCCGGGTGTCCGCAAAGCCAGTGAAGCTGCTCTGCAGAAAAGACTCGCTGGCTTCTCTCCCCTTCTCCAAGATCTGGGATGTTTGGGGAGTGGCAGGGAAGCAACCTTTTAGCACAGAACAGGCAGAGTGCCCTGGAAATGTGCCGCATGTTTTTGTGGTATCTGTTTATTGACAGCCCCAGAATTCTGTGCGGGGGGCAGCAAGCAGCACCGGTTTGCCCCATCCTTGGCAAGCGCTCCCAAATAGCTGTCCCACCAGCCAGCTGCCAGATTTGCCCTTCCGTGCTGCCTGTACTCCGACCCTTGAACGGTCCCTCTGCGGCTCGCCCCCAAACAGACGGGGCGGCATTCAACCAACAACTATCGGTGCTCATTTTAAGGGAGCATCTTTCCAGCCATCAGAAAAGAATTTTCTCCATTCATCCGAATAAAAACCTGGCTCCTTGCAGAACTGTTTAAATTCCATACTGACTGAGGACTAGCCTGGCGCAACGGATGACAGAGTTTTAGGCTGTGAAAATGGAATAATGAAAACAGCAAGGTGTTAATGGCCCGGGGTGCCTGCGGCAGGAAGGGGTGTGTGGCACATTCTGAAGCAGGGGAACAGCCATAGCTGCTGCTTTTCAGGTTTTAATTCTCAGAGGACCTCACACCCTGGTTAAAAGCTCAGTCCAGCTAAGAATTACATCTTAAAGGAACAGCCATGCTAAGCAGCAACCTGGCTTGGGATTCTGTTGCTTTCTGAGAAAGGGGCATAGGTTTGATTTTATAACACTAAGGCACATGTAAGCAGCCTTTTTCTACCAGGATTTATCTGGATTTCCTCCACAGAAAACATGCCACTCGGGAACAGCGGTGCTGAGCTGCAGCTGTGCCCTGGGCAAGCCCTCCTGGGCAAACCCGTGAGGCCTCCAGCTGGCCCGTGTGTGAACTGGGACATTCGGCCGGCTGGCACACGGAGCAGGCACACGGCTAGGACTGGGCTGGTGGGATGCCAGTCCTGGCGGTCTTTCTCGGGGCTTCAGTTCTGCTCCATGGAGGCCTGAGTGGAAAAGGCGAATGGAGCCTTTTTCTTCAGCTTAATAGCCATTCTGAGGCGGGTTTCCAAGTGCTTCAGCCCCAAGAAATCCCCCCTGCATTGCAATAAAGTTTTTAAAAAACTTCGATGATTGGGGATGATCTGCAAAAGGGTGTCCATTCCCTGCAGACTTCTCTTTATTTAAGATTATTTGGATGCAAGAATTATTGGAGGACAGCCAGCGTGGGGAAGTGGCTTGCGTGTGGGGCTTGAGGATCTGGGGGTCCGGGCTTCTAGTCCCCACTCAGCCGCAAAGCTCAGCTGTGCAACTTTGGGCCAGTCACAGGCTCTGAGCCTGATCTACCTCACAGGGTTGGTGTGAGGATAAGATGGAGACGAGGAGAAAGAGCTTCTCTGGATTCCTTGGAAAAGGTGGGGTAGGAATAATAATGAAAATGCCTAGTTTTTGGACTCTGGTGAAATATAAAGAAATCCTAATGATTATACTTAATTAGCATATATAGATGTAAATTACCATATGCAGGTTTTATGCAGTGTTCGTATGGGGCTGGATCCTGAATCTTTCCATGCCTAGCAGTGCCCCGATATGGATGATTGATCCATGGTGATGATGAAGAAGGAATGCCCTGTATTTGCTGATCTATATACCTGTATAAATGTCTCTATTATTTATTTTGTTTATTTATTAAAAGCTTTTCTAACCCGTCCCCTACAGAACGTCTCAGGATGACTTACAATAAATAAATAAAAGTGATGTTACATCGTATTATTGTTACGTTACATTCATGCCTGCCTCAATTCCTTTTTCAACAAACCCAAGACAGGTTACAAGGTTCGCCTTCTCTCTGCATTTTATCCTCACGACAGCAACCCTGCGAGGTTGGTTAGGCTAAGAGTCTGTGAATGGCCCAAAGGCACCCAGTGAGTTCTGTGGCTCAGTGTGGACTAGAAACCGGAGCGCCAAGATCCCAGTCCAACACTCTGACCAGTACACCATACTGCCTCTCACACTCCCATGCACGCCTTAGGAAGAATTGCAGTCTCCCCACGGGAGGGAAAAAGCCATGCGCAGGACCTTTCCCTTGATCACAGCATCGACCATGGTATCCTTCTGGTTAGGCTGGCCGGGTTGGGGGTCGGAGGCTCTGCTTGGCAGTGGTTCCGCTCCTATCTCAATGGCCGATTCCAGAAGGTGGTGCTGGGGGACTATGGCTCTGCGCCATGGCAGCTATGCCACGGAGTACCGCAGGGGTCCATTCTGTCCCCCCTGCTATTCAACACCTACATGAAACCGCTGGGAGAGGTCATCAGGAGGTGTGGGCTGCGGAACCATCAGTACGCTGATGACACCCAGCTCTACCTCTCATTTTCCATCAATCCAGGTGAGGCAGTGGCTGTGCTGAACCGGTGCCTGGCCGAGGTGATGGGCTGGATGAAGGCCAATAAACTGAGGCTCAATCCAGACAAGATGGAGGTCCTGTTGATGGGCGATTCGAGCTCCTGGGTAGGTGACTTGGGCCCTGCCCTGGATGGGGTTGCACTCCCTCTAAAGGACAGGATCCACAGCTTGGGAGTGCTCCTTGACCCGGAGCTATCCCTGGAAATACAGATGACTGCAGTGGCGATGAGCGCTTTCCTTCAGCTTCAGCTGATCCATCAGCTGCGCCCCTACCTGGGGGACGACTGCCTAGTGAGAGTGGCACATGCATTGGTTACTTCCTGGTTGGACTACTGTAACGCGCTCTACGTGGGGCTGCCCTTGAAGACGGTCCGGATACTTCAGATGGTGCAAAACAGAGCAGCCAGGTTGCTGATGGGGACTGGGCGTTATTCTCATATAACCCCAGTCCTCTACCAGCTTCACTGGCTCCCCATTGAAGTCCGGGCCCAATGCAAGGTGCTGGTTATCACCTAGAAAGCCCTGAACGGCTTGGGACCTGGTTATCTAAAGGCGCGCTTGCGTCCATGTATGCCCTCCCGCCCC